CAGGTGCCACACAATCACTCCTCCTGTCCCCAGAAGCTGTCAGGTCCCCCTCACCAGAACACAGCTGCCACGGGAAATCAGGGTGAACCAGGCAGGTCTGTGTCATGTACCCCACTGTCCAAACAGTTGGTCCATGTCAACCCTCAGGGCTTGGCTAGGACATCGCCCCTTGGATAAAATGAAGTCTTTGCTTATTTAGACATTATCTAGCATCTAGATAAGGATCGTGTACTCACCACCACCTAATTTGCATAGTGGCACATGGTCACATATTATACTGGCACATGGCGAAATGTCTTAACCATAAAAACAGGACACATGCGGTGGAAAGGAAGTTTCTGCTCGATGTCCAGTAACCTCAGAGGCTACCACTGACTGCCCTCTGGTCGTGGTGCCCATCTAGAAATGTTCCATATTCCTCTCGCAGCCCTTGTGTAATTTACTCATGCTCTGCAACCTTCTTTTTCCCATGACACAGCTTGGAGATTCAGATTGCCTTCCAAGAGAATGCACAGCTTTCCCCTGCTCTGTCGAGGGCTGCCTGCACAAGGCCCTGCTGTGTGGCTGCGCTGTCCCTTGCCCACCCCTGCCAGATATTGGGCTGTTGCTCATCTTTGGCAACCACAACGGCCCTAAACAGCTATCCTCATACGTGTGTGCATTCATCTCTGCAAAGACGTCCGCTGGGTACCTTCCTAGAAGCCCAATAGCTCTGGTCCACAGATGTGTACATTTTTAATTTTGCAAGATTGCCAAATTGCCTTCCAAAGAGGGGTAGGTGAATTTAAACTCTCACTTACTGTCAACCTGTTTGATCTTTACCAACCTCCTAAGTTTGAAGAAATAGATTCTCATTGTAGCTTATATTTATGGATGGAAGGTATTCCAAAAAGAAATTCTGACGTAAATAGCAGGAGAAATTCCTGGGAAAGAGCTTTGTTTTATTTTTAAATAAGAGCAATGTGAGTGTTGTTTTATTCACTTCCGTGCAGTAGAGTGCAGGGAGAATCCAGCCAAGAGGATGAGCTGCAAAAGGAAAGAAATAGCTTCCTTCATGAAAGAAAGAGGGCTCATGGTGAAAATGAGACTTATGCGTTCTTGTGCAAAGATGGTGAAAACCACTCCTTGGCAGCTTTTCTCACTGCAGTCAGTTCCCACGCTGTGCCTGAGTGGCCACCAGGCCTCCCAGCTGGGTCCAAACACAGCTGGTGATCCCGAGGACAAGGATCCCTTACATCCCTGCTGCTGTCCAGGATGTTATGAAAAGTTTCACTGAAACTGGGCACTGTGACTTACGCCTGGAACCTCAGTACTTTGGGAAGCCAAGGCAGTGGGGATAGCTTGGGTCCAGGAATTCGAGGTTGCAATGAGCCGAGATCATACCACTGCATTCCAGGCTAGGCAACAGATTGAGACCCTGTCTCAAAAAAAAGAAAGTTTCACCTAAACATCAATGGTGCTGATTGCACAACCCTGAATATACTAAACCACTGAATCACATGCTTTAGATGGGAGGATGCTATTGTACATGACTTATATCTCAAGAAAGCTGTTAATTTTTTTTTCTTTTTGATATGGAGTCTGACTCTGTCAGGCTGGAATGCAGTGGTGAGATCTTGGCTCACTTCAACCTCCACCTCCTGGGTTCAAGCCATTTTCCTGCCTTAGCCTCCCAAGTAGGTGGGACTACAGGTTTGTGCCACCATGTCCAGCTAATTTTTGTATTTTTAGTAAAGACAGGGTTTCACCGTGTTGTCCAGGATGGTCTCGATGTCTTGACCACATGATCCACCCACTTTAGCCTCCCAAAGTGCTGGGATTAGAGGTGTGAGCCAGCATGCCTGGCCAAAATCTTTTAATATTGGCATTAAAAGATGTCTTAGTCCATTTTCTTATTTATTTGTTTATCTATCTATTTATTTATTTATTTATTTAGAGACAGATTTTCGCTCTTGTTGCCCAGGCTGGAGTGCAGTGGCTTGATCTCAGCTTACTGCAAGCTCTGCCTCCCAGGTTCAAATTATTCTCCTACCTTGGCCTCATGAGTAGCTGGGATTATAGGCACCCATCACCACACCTGGCTAATTTTGTATTTTTAGTAGAGACAAGATTTCATTGTGTTAGCCAGGCTGGTCTTGAACTTTCAACCTCAGGTGATCTGCCCATCTTGGCCTCCCAAAGTGCTGCAATTACAGGCATGAGCCACTGTGCTGGGCCCAATATTAGTCTATTTTCATGCTGCTGGTAAAGAGATACCCAAGACTGGCAATTCACAAAAGAAAGAGGTTTAATGGACTCATAGTTCCACATGGCTGGGGAGGCCTCACAATCATGGCGGAAGGTGAAAGACACATCTCACATGGCAGCAGACAAGGGAAGCGTTTGTGCAGGGAAGCTCCCCTTTATAAAACCATCAGATCTCTGAGACTTATTCACCACCATGAGAATAGCACAGGAAAGATCTGCCCCCATGATTCATTTACCTCCTAAAAGTTCCCTCCTATAACACGTGGGAACTGTGGGAGCTGCAATTCAAGATGAGATTTGGGTGGGGACACAGCCAAACCATATTTAAAAAAGCTGTCTTTTGGGGGGCTGTAGTGTGAGCTCTGGAAACATAAATACTTAGCAGCAGCCCTGTGGCGGCCCTCTGTGGGGGCACTTTGGCCCCACCAGAGAGGAGCCTGAACTGCACACACAGCTCTTACATTCAGCTCCTCTCACTTTAACTAAAGACAGCAAGGAGGATAAAAATAGCCTACCAAGAAAATTGCCCTTGGCTGATTTTAAAAGAAAATGCCTATAACTGTTTAGAAAGCACAGTGTACATATCTTTATATATAAATCCCCTACCTTAATACATATGTGCAAACATATCCTGTGTACAGTAGGTTACAGTAAGAATGTTAAGTATAATTTATAGTGTTATTTAATTTTATTGCCTATTTTTGACTGTTTATATATTAATTTTATTAAGTTTATATGATGGGACCTCACTCACTGTTTAGGAATATAGTATTCATTTCACTGAAGTTTAATCATTTATTCAGATGTAGCATATTAACATGAATCTGATCTTCTCAATGACCATAGATATTCCAAGTGGTTTATTGTGTAATGACAGTCAGTCCTCCATTATCTATGGGCAGGTTGTCCTCTCTGGGGTTCACCTCTGGAAAAATTTCAATCCTGGTCAGACCTTTCTCTCATCCCAGCAGAATGTAGTTGGGAAGATAAACCTTCTTGTAACCCTGGCGGCATTCATCCCGGGGCGCTGGCCAGTGGGTGGGAGTGCTGAAGTCCTGAGTCAGGGCTTCTCAGTTCCACTCTGCCTCTGGATGAGTCACAGGCTCCCCAGGCTATGGTCCACAAGGTAAGAGAAGGGCCATGGACTACCCTCGGAGGCTGTTTCGAGCATAGGCTGACTCTGTGGGAACTGGTAGCCCAGTGCCTGACCCACAGGGAGTTCTCAGTAAGGTGAGTTGCTGTTGTGGTCTGAGAGTTTGTGTTCCCCCGTCATCCATCTGTTGAAATCCTCACCTGCAAGGTGATGTTATTAGGAGGTGGGTCTTTGGGAAGTGATTAGGTCATGGGAACAGGGGCCTTACCAATGGGATGAGTGTGCCCTTATTTAAAAACTCCAGAGAGGCCCCGCCCCTTCCACCATATGAGATTGGAATAAGAAGCTGCTGTCTGTGAGGAACGGGCCCATACCGGACACTGAATCTACCAGCACCTTGATCTTGGACTTCTCAGCCTCCAGAACTGTAAGAATAAATTTCTGTGGCTTACCAGGCATCTGTGGTATTTTGTTATAGCAGCCCAAGCCAACAAGGACAGTTACTGTGAATGTGCCTGAAACCCAGTGACATTTCTATGATCCATACTATTGCTTCCCTCCATGGATATGGATACACACTCATCACTTATTCTATTCCACATATATTTATTGAACAGGGCTGGGTACACACACTGAGGAATACAAAGATAGGAGCATCAGCCTGCCCTTGGTGGGGACTGTGGGTGTCCCATGTTGTGAGAGCACTGAGGTGGGAAAATAAATCTTCTACGCTGTACTTGCAGGGGGCACATCTGCCCGGGGTGGGGACTGGAGCTGAGCTTTGAGGTGGGGAAGTTTTCCTAAGTGGTGGGAGAGAGGATGAAAGGACAGAGGGATGATGGGATGGGGCGTGCACGGGGCAGGAGAGAGGAAATCAAGGATCCCTTATCACAAACTGGAAGTGGAGGACTCTGGAAGGCAGAACCAACACAACAGCTAACTTCCTATTTGGAAAAATATCATTTTGAAATACAAATACAAAAAGTCAAGTGGAATGAAATCTTCTTGACTCATAGGCCTACCTTCAACAAAAGGATTCTGCAGGGGCCAAGGGGCATGAGGTGGTTTTATTTTTGCTGTTGTAAAAGTAGTGCTTATTTAAGGTAAGGCTTCTGCCTTATGGAGAGGGGTACTGTGGGAACAAAGACCCCAGCACCTGTCCCAGCTGCCCCAGGGGCTGCTGTCACTTCCTATGGTGCTGGTAGATGTGTGCTCTGCAATTTGTGGAGTGCATGGAGGTGGGGACTTCCGGATGTCCCAAGGTTGTTGGGTTTCATTGCTGGCCTTTGCTATTATGGACATTGCCACACTAAAACTGCCTCCTGCAAGTACAGCACAGGATAAGTTCTCAGCGGTGGAACTGCCAGCCCAAGACACGTGGCACAGTCTTTCCGTCTTTTTTTTTTTTTTTTGTCTTGCAGGAGAAAGGGGTGCACCATTCTTCAGCTGTGCCCGGGCAGGGCCACACCCACCTCTGCAAGCCCCTGGGAGCCCTTTGTGATGCCACCTTTGTGCATCCCCAGAAGCGTTTTCTTCCAAACAGGAACTCAGTATTTTATGAATGCTCTATTTTTTTTCTTTTGAACAGGAATCTTTGCCTACATGAACTATAGAGTACCCCGGACAAGGAAGGAGATCTTTGAAACCCCCGTCAAGGGTCTGCAGCGGCTGGAGTACAGAGGCTACAACTCGGCAGGTGGGTCTGCGGCCACCTGCCTTGTTTCTGGGGACGGAGCTCCCCTGCTCTGCCCTCACCCATCTCCTCTGTAGGGGATTTACAACCCGGGCCTTTTACTGCTACTTCTTTATGTTCATTTTCAATATAAAAATAACACTGTCTGGTAAAGAAATTTGAAACCTATAGAAAAATAGAAAGAAGAAACAAGGGTAAACAAAAAAACAAGCAGAAAACCTCCTTCTTCAAAAGTTCCTCCATCAGGAAGCAGTGAGGGTACAAGGCTGCAGCCATGCAGCATGAGTAAGTCCTGGACAGCTGCTCTGCAGCTTGGTGCCTGACCTTAACAACACTGTATTGCGCACATAAATATTTGCCAGAAGAGTAGATTTTTTAATTTTTAGTTTTTAGTTTTCTTGTCACTCAGGCTGGAGTGCAGTTCCAGGACATTGGCTTACTGCATCCTGAAACTCCTTGCCTCACGCCGTCCTCAGCCTCCTCAGCAGCTGGGACTACAGGCACACACCACCTCACCCGGCTGATTTTTTATTTTTTGTAGAGATGGGGTCTCACTGTGTTGCCCAGCATGGCTTCAAACCATCCTCCTGCCTCTGCCTCCCAAAGCACTGAGATCGTAGGTGTTAGCCAGCGAGCCCAGCCAAGAGGGTAGAGCTTATGTTAAGTCCTCCTATCACACACAATACATAAAGAGGGCAGGAGGAGGCTCTGAAAGGTGATAGGTTTATGGTGTAGCCTGCGGTGGTGGTTTCATGGGGGTGTCCTTGACTCCAAGCCCATCAGGTTGTAGACATTATGCACAGCTTTGTGTATGTCAGCCCTACCTCAGTGAGGTGGCTTCATTAAAAAAGGACCCCTGTCAGTCTTTGAGTCCCTCCTCTGGTTGTTGTTGTCTGTTGGGATGGTCTGCGGCGGAGGAGGGTAGAGGGGTTATACGTTGACATTTTTTGTTTTACCTAATTATAATTATGCAGTTTTGTAATTTTACATTCTCCTCTTTTCACTTAGCATTTCTATGATCCTAAACTCTTTCTAAGTAGCTTTCTCAGTGGCTACACAATGCTACACTGAGTGGCTGTCTCAGAGTTCAGGCCTCCATTCACTACAGAGGTGGATATTTAATCTGTTTACCCTGTTTAATCATGCAGCCCGAGGAGAGAGGGGGAGCCAGATGATTTTAGATCCCTGTCAACTTTTAACATGAGGCAAGTCTGATGGGAGGAACACTAATGCAGTGGAGATACTGGCAACAACATCACAATGCAGAGAGCCCTTGGGGTAAATCCCTGGCCTGGGCCATTGCCATCAGCCAGGGCCTGGTAGCGCCTGTAGTGGGGAAGCATCCCGAGGGGCTCACCCTGGGCAGGAACTGGGCAGGAGGCAGCTGTAGCCCAGGAGGAGGCAGGAGCTTCCCTACTTGTTAAGCATGGCCATGGTCACAGCCTCTTCTTTCAAAGTAGATTTCCTGAGAACTGTACAGCTCTCCAACCTGCCATTAACAGACAGCCCGGGGCATGCAGCCCTGACCCTGCACAGCACCTGTGCCAGGTATGTGAGACAAAACTTAAGTCCCAAAATAACAAAAAATACCTACATCACAGGTGTGGCAATCGATGGGAATAATCACGAAGTCAAAGAAAGACACATTCAACTGGTCAAGCAAAGAGGCAAAGTCAAAGCTCTGGATGAAGAACTTTACAGTAATTGGAAGACCTCTGAGTAGGAGGAGTGAGTGCTGCAGAAGCAGCTTTATAGGATTGTATTCCAAAAGCATGGGAGACCAAAAGTCTCCACTTGTCCCAGCTCAGATAAACAGAAGGAACGTTAAGCCCATGCTGTAAAACTGTGCTTCACAGGGTGTGGGATGGTTTATTTTAGGTGGTGGTGGCATATGGATAATTTTTTTTTTTTTTTTTTTGAGATGGAGTCTCACTCTGTCACCCAGGCTGGAGCGCAGTGGTGCAATCTTGGCTCACTGCAACTCTGCCTCCCAGGTTCAAGCAATTCTTCTGCCTCAGCCTCCTTAGTAGCTGGGATTACAGGCACTTACCACCATGCCAGGCTAATTTTTTGTAATTTTTAGTAGAGACGGGTTTCACTGTGGAAGCCAGGATGACCTCGATCTCCTGACCTTCTGATCAGCTTACTTTGGCATCCCAAAGTGCTGCAGTAACAGGTGTGAGCTACCATGCCTGGCCAGATAATTTTTTTAAAGTGTTAATAGTTACATGCAGTAGTTATTTTAATTATTCTGGCAAATGATTGCTTTCTGTTTGTGGTAGAGAGATAATAATTTTCCTTTAGTAAGTTTATTTCTGTGAATAAGTGAGCTGAGTTACAGAGAAGTAGTAAATAGTCCTCAGCACAGGTGGTTCATGGGCCTGCCCAGACTCCCGGGGTGGGATCTGGTGGGGAGGTGCAGTCGGTGTGGGTGATGTGACTCAGTGTAACGACACCAGGTCACCTTCACCAAGTCCCTAGTGAAGGATTATTGTTAAAGTGCAGCAGACTGATTTTCCTTTCATTTAGAACAAGACAGCATGGACTTAAAAGTGGAGTTTGAAACACACTTCGGCATTGCCCACACTCGCTGGGCCACCCACGGGGTCCCCAGTGCTGTCAACAGCCACCCCCAGTGCTCAGACAAAGGCAACAGTACGTGGCATGCTTCCCCATCCCCATGGTTCCACCTCACCCTGAGCTGTGTCAGGGCCAATTCCTGCCAGAGCAGATTCCACGCCCACCTGTAACTGACTTCTCAGCCTGCTTCATTTTTCCAAGAAAATGCAGATGTCCCATACCCCAGAGCTCTGCTGGTGGCCTCAGGATACAGGCAGCCTGGTCCCAGGGTGGTGCTGGCCTCCTGAGAATGCTCAGGAAAATGATGGCACTTAAAACCAGGAGAGCTGATGGCTCCTTGGAACCCAGCCCATGAGTGGGATGAGGCCACATGACGGACTGAGGGGCCTGGGCACTGTTTCCCCCCAAGAGATGGAAATGTTCCCCAAGGCTGTGCCCTTCTGGGAAGGATGGGTTCTGTCCTCATACAGCTAAACCCATCTCTTCCCCGCAGAATGGTCTAGGTGAGGGCAGGGGCTGTATTGGTCTTGGATGGTGTCAGAAGCACCATGGGCCCCAGAAGGAGACCTCAGCAGCCAGGAGCTTAGGGTTTGGAGAAGTAGGGGCTGCAATAAAATTAAAAGTTAAAAATTAAAATTAAAAGTTGACTAGCTTTTAATCAACCTTTTGGCCACTGCATCAGATGTTCCTGTTGGTGCATTAGAACTGTACTGTGAACTCCTTGTCATTATCACATTTAAATACCAGGTCAGCAATGGATCAGGATAAAGTTTAAAAATAGACCCAGACAAATAAGACCAACTTCTTTCTCCAAAGTTGCCAAGGCAGTTCAGTGGAGAAAGGATAGTCTTGTCAATAAATGACGTTGGGGGCTGGGCACAGTGGCTCATGCCTGTAACTCCAGCACTTTGGGAGGCTGATGTGGGAGGATCACTGGAGGTCAGGAGTCCAAGACCAGCCTGGGAGACCCTGTCTTAAAAAAATTATGTTGGAGCAACTAGCTATTCCATATGCCAGAAAATGAAACTTGGCCAGGCACAGTGGCTCACACCTGTAATCCCAGCACTTTGGAAAGCCAAGGCAGGTGGATCACTAGGTCAGGAGTTCAAATCCAGCCTGACCAACATAGTGAAACCCCATTTCTACTAAAAATACACACACAAAAAAATTAGCCAGGTGTGGTGGCACAAGCCTGTAGTCCCAGCTACTCGGGAGGCTGAGGCAGAAGAATTGTTTGAACCCAGGAGGCAGAGGTTGCAGTGAGCCGAGATCATGCCACTGCACTACAGACTGGGCAACAGAGCGAGACTCTGTCTCAAAAAAAGAAAAAAGAAAAAAGAAAAAGAGAAAAGAGTGACACAATCCCACCACACCTCTGTTAGAACAGCTATGGTTTCTTTAATGGCAATACCAAATGTTGATGAGGACAGAGAACAAATGGATCTCTCATACATTATTGGTGGGAATGCAAAATGGCGCAACCACTTAGGAAAACAGTTTCTCAAAAAGCTGAACCATATGATCCAAATAGAAATGAAACTTATGTCTACACAAAAACCAGTACACATGTTTATAGCAGCTCTGTTCACTACCGCCAAATACTAGAAGCAGTTACAATGTTCTGCTCTAGGTGAGTGGATAAACAAACTGGCACATCTGTGCAGTGAAATACAGCTCAGCCATAAAAAGGAATGAACGGGAGAAAAAAGGAATGAACCATTAATACACATGGAAACTTGAATTGATTTCAAAGACATTATTCTGAGAAAAAGCCAGTCTCAAGGTTATATAAAGTATAATTACATTTATACATTCTCAAAAAGCCAAAGCCTTATTGTTGCAGAACAGATGAGTGGTTGCCAGGGGCTGAGGTGGGAGACTGTGTGACTTCAGAGGGGTAGCACTTGGGAGTTTTGGGAGTGGTGGAACTGTTCTGTTTCCTGATTGTGGTGGAGCTGAATCTCCACATGTTAAACTCACAAGAGTTAATTTTACTGTGTGTTAATTTTTAAAAGAAGTTCAGCCAGCAAAGGTATGCAAAAGTCATCCTTTCCTTACAAGATTTGCTTCATTTGTGCCCTTGCTGGTGTTGCATCCAGGTTGCAGCACTCAGAGCGGGCAAGGCAGGGGGCCGAGGAGCGGAGCCACAAGCTGCAACAGGAGCTCAGCGGGAGGATCGGCACCCTGCAACTGCAGCTCTTCCAGTTGCACGAGAAATGGTAGGGGCCTTGCAGCAAGCCTAGGCTGGGGCGTGGCTCAGGAGGGACTGGGAAGAATTGGGGGCAGGTAGTATCCTGCTTCAGCATTCATCCTGCAGGTTCAGTATATTCCTAGGGAGCTTCTCTTCACAGGGCTCCTCACGTGGTCCAACTAGCCTCCAGGAGGTCTGGCCACTCTCAGACCATGGTCCCAGGTTGTAGCCTTTAACATCCTTGACCAGCCCTTTCCAAAAAATCAACTTTGTCAGTGTTGAGCAGAAAGCCACCTTTCACCTAGCCTTTGCTGATGTAAGCTTCATATAATTTTACGCACAGTTCATCGATAGATTTTTTAACAGTCTTACTCTGTCATCCAGGCTGGAGTGCAGTGGTGCAGTCTCTGCGCCTGCAACCTCCGCCTCCCAGGCTCAAACAATTATTGTGCCTCAGCCTCATGAGTAGCTAGGCCTACAGGTGCAAACTAACACACCCAGCTAATTTTTGTGTTTTTAGTAGCGACAGGCTTTTGCCATGTTGGCCAGGCTGGTTAAAATCTTCTGGCCTCAAGTGATCCACCCATCTCTGCCTCCAAAACTGCTGGGATTACAGGCATCAGCGACTGCCTGGCCTATAGATTTTTTGAGATAGTATAAATGCCAAGCTAAAAGCCTGTTGTCAAGAGAAGAGATAGAGCCATCTTTATTTCCACAAAGAGAGAGAAGACTCCAGGGGTTCCAGCAGTGCCCCCAGGGCCACTCAGCTGGTACAAGGGAGGAGTCAGGTTCGGACTGAGGCTCACTCCTGGCCTCCCTCCAGGATCCTCCACTGTCAGCCTTGCCACAGGATATAGAAAGCAGAATGAGGCTGGGCGCAGCGGCTCAAACTTGTAATTCCAACACTTTGGAAGGCTGAGGCAGGTAGATCATGAGGCATGTGAATCATGAGGTCAGGAGTTTGACACCAGCCTGGCCAACATGGTGAAACCCTGTCTCTACTGTGGTGGCGGGTGCTTGTAATCCCAGCTACTTGGGAGGCTGAAGCAGAAGAATC